TGCAAGTCAAGGGTGCCGCTGCAGATCCCAGTTGCTCTTTGTCTGAAATCTTTAAGGGGCACAGATGAGTAGGATGAAAAATAGAAGCAAGAATAAAAAACAAACAGCATCTTGATTTATAGATCAAGGACTGAGCCTTACTGAGCCAGGGTTTGGTAATTCCTGGCAACTGTGACCCACAGGGAGCAGAGCTTTCTTTACTCAGTGGGAGCTTTTTTCTTTCACACACTGCCTGTCCAGTGTGCACTCGTGTGGGTGTGTGGTTGGACGCTCATCAGAGGTGCGATTTGTAATGTGATTTTTATGACTTTGTGGGTAAGTATTTGTGGTATTCCTCAGCTATCCCATCCCAGCAGACAAACCACAGAACTCCAAATGGTGAATACCCTGGTGAAACTCTGATGAGCTTTGTGAAAACACTTTTGCCTCTGTCACTGGAACCAGGTCTTGCTAACAGGTTCAAACGGAGGACGGGTGCTGTGTTTTGCTCTCTGTAAGTTCAGAGGCCACAGTGCCTTGTAAGTGGCTGTCACAGACATGGGTTCTACAGTGGAGTGAGAAGGAGCCCAGGCCCACCACCCACTGCCCCTCAGGAGTCAGTACTGCTCACAGGCTGGCACTCATATGAATAGGACTCGTTATAGTTTTAATATGAAGTGAGCCCCAAAGACTTGCATTGTGGCTACAGCCCGCAGCAATAATGTTCAAAGTGGGGTCTAGCGAAGTCATTGGACCATGAAGACATTGACCTGATAAATGATTAATATACTGATGAGACTATAGTGGAACTGGCTAGTGGGAGATGGGATCTAATTCAAGGGAGTGAGTCAGGGCACAGCCCCAGGGACTATACAGTGTCCCCAGCCCGCCCTCCCTGTCTCTCTCCTCCCTATCTGTCTCTGTGTCTGTCTCTCTCTCTGTGTCTCTGTCTGTCCCTGTCTGTCTGTCTGTCTGTCTGTTTCTCTCTCTCTCTGTCTCTGTTTTCTGGCCACTATGAAGTAATAGCCTCCCTCTCCATATACTCCAGCTGCCATGAAGTGTCTGCCTCTACTTCGGCCTAAAGAAATAGAGCCAGTTAACCATGAACTGCAGCCTCTGAAACTATGTGCCAATCTTCATTTTAGGTGATTTTCTCAGGCATTTTGACACAGTGATGGAAAACTGACTGATCCAGGTCTTTTACTATTTAGGTCAAATAGTGCAAATCCTTTCAATTTCCAAACAAAATAGCTCACACTTATTAGGTTGCCTTGTTGCTCTCTAGAACATAAAACCACAGAGCTGAAATACATTAGAAGGGAAATCAACAAAGAGAATGAAAAGATACAGAATGTATTTTAACTAGAATGAAGAGGGTTTTTTGTTTGTTTTGTTTTGAAAAGATACTGAATTTCACCTTTGCTTATTACCCTAACCCATGAGGCTGGTCTCCAGGGTAACTATTGATCCATCAGAGAGTTAACTACTTCTAAACCCAAAGTACCCCCACAGATTTATAATGAAAAAAAGACAGAGACAGAATTTCTGCTCCTTCCCAGATTAGAGCCTGTTGTTTTCTTGAAAAACAAATGTGGCACTCTGTACAACCTGAACTACCTCACCCTTACTCTGAATACAAGGGAGTAAATTACTAGGCAGGGTGTTAGAATGTAGGCACTGTTGTCTTTGGACAGCTTTGGATAGAGACAAAGTAGCCAGAATACCTGAAGTTGGTAGATCATCTGATAGTTTAAAAGAAGGCTTTCATATTATTTTGAGATTAAAACTTTTACCATCTTAATGTTCGTTCCAAAACACTACCAGATACCATAAACATCAGAGGATGATATGGTACCAGCTCATACTATTTGGTGCCAGGCAAACTAAAACCGACAAGATGAAAACCAAGAGCCAATACAAAGTAGTCTGAATGTGAATGCACCTGCAAAGTCGAGATTTCATTTCTGAGGAACATGTTTATTAACTCTGAGTAAGGAAGCGACCATCATGATTATCATCTCTGTTGGGGAGATTTTCTACTCTAGGCCACCTCCACACACCTGCTCTAAAACTGACAGAGGAACTCAGCACTGGCTGTGTGAAGCAAAAGTAACACAGGATCTGATATGTTTTTCCAGAAGTGTACAAACAGAATAGGAACTTTGTAAAACCTGAAGACAAAACAGAGAAAAAAGAACACTGCCAACAGAAAAACAACACAAAATTAAAAATCAATTTAGTTTCAGCCAAAACTCTCAGTAATTTATAGATTGAATACTTCATGAAATTAACAAAAATTTTAGATATTTAGACATGAACTGCACATATGTATGTGACAAAACTTGCAAAAAGTAGCTGAAGTTGTCATTTAAGGAAAAGAAGTGAATATTCACAGCAATTAGCTCAAAAAACCAAATAAAGTAAAAGGAAAGAATTTTTTTAAAACTATGTGCAAGCTAATGACACTGAAAATAAACAACCTAAGCAACAAAACAAAAATGTGAGCATTGAAAAATAGTCACTTCCAACCTCTAGTCTGATTCCTCAAGAAAAAAATGAAGCTATATTAGGAATAAAAATTGGAACAAAAGTGCAGATAAAATAGTTTTAACTGAGCATGACAGCACATGCCTGTAATTCCAGTTACTCAAGGGGCTGAGACAGGAAGATCACAAATCAAGGCCTGACTGGGCAACTTACCAGAAAGATCCCATCTCAAAATCTAAAAAACGAAAACACGGCTGGTGATGTAGCTCAGTACTTCCTAAGTTCAGTATTACTGTCCCCAAAAAATAGCTCTGGGAGAATAAAATGTAATACTCAGATACAACTGACATGAAACAAGGAAGCCTAGAAAAACATAATTTGCAGAATTCCTGAGAAGTATTATAAATAGTTATATTTAACTATTTATAGTTAAAATAAACTATAAATAGTTTATATATATATAATTATAGTTATATTTAACTATATAGTTAAAGCATACAGAGCAGTAATATTTTTGGAAACATACAAATCTACTAAAAGTACAAATATGAATGAGAGAATTACTCTTCTGGTCAGGAATGAGAATGAAATCAGGAAAGGGTACAGAAAGGCTTAAATGGTAACACAGGGATTGTGTGTAGTACAGGGACCATTAATCCAAGCTGGGAGGCCCCTGAGTGTTTCATTAGGTGCTTGCTTGTCCATAAATACTGTGGCAAAGCAGGTAATGAGCTACAGTCACCCTTCCATGTCCCAGGATTCCATGTTCTCCAATCAATACAGGGTGAAAACTATTCAGGAAAAAAACTTACCTTCTTGCCATTATTCCATAAAAAATACAGTATAGAAACATTTTATACAGAATTTAGATTGCCTTCGGGTTACATAATTGAGAAATTTAAGGTATATCAAAGGAGATGTGGGGATGCATATCCTTACACAAGAGGCCAAGGCAAAAAAGATTACTATGAGTTCAAGGTCAGTCTGAATTACATAGTCTCAAAAAGGGGGGGGGGCATACTGAAGAATGTGTGCAGGTTATATGCAAATACTGTGCAATTTGATATTAGGAGCATGAACACCCTTTAATTTTGGTGTGCTTGGTGACCCTGAACCTAATTCCGTTTGAATATTGAGGGCCAACTCTATGTGAACTCTTGTTCAGTTCTTCTCCTAGCTCTGTTACAGCCACGGTTTCCAAAATGTATTCCTCTTACCCCACAGCAGCAGCAGGGCATCTGGGAACTTGCAGAAATGTAAATGCTTGGGCCACACCCCAGGCCCACAGAGCCAGAGCTCTGAGATCCCACCCAGCACTAATGCTGGGTGAGCAGCACGGTCTTTGAATACTGTTTATGACACTCTGGATAAGATGTCCTCCTATCTCCCCATCACCTGGGATATTTGTCAGATACACAGAACCTAAAACCATAAGGCTGACACTTCTTCCAGGAATCCACACTTGTGCATACTAAACGTTAAAACCTCCGTGACCACCTCAGTTATCAGGCCAGTTGTCCCTACCACCCCATTAGCACTGGTAGCTCCACGCCAGGTTCAAGTGACCCGTATTTCACTTAATGATCTCATGCACAAACATAGTGAGGCAAAGGAGACACCAACCATGAAAGGAGGAGGACAGGCCAACTCCAATACTGCCGGGACACAGGAGAGGACACAGGGTCTACTGTGTGCAGGTTTGGACCGCCCACTCACTGAGGCTCCAAGAGGGACACAATTGTACTTCATATCTTTACAACAGTCAGAAAGTTTTGTTAATATTTTCAAATTTTGCACTGTATTTCATTGATTCTAAAGATATCCTCCATGATTAAACAATGCTGAAATTGGAGTGTTTTTTTACAATCACTGGTATGTCCCAGTTTTATTAGAGGCATTTTTTTTTCTTGCACAAGTTAAAAGGATGGATCTTTCTGCAATACTGGAAGTCAAACTCAGAGCCTCAGGAATGCTAGGCAAGCCCTGGACACTGAGTTACAAGTCCAGCCCATAGGATTCCATTTTGATACAGAGTCTAAGTAGCCCAGGTTGGCCTTGAACTTCCAATCCGCCTGCCTCAGCCTCCCAAATAGCTAGGATTACAAGCATGCACCATTACACCTGGCTAAAAGTGATAAATCAATGACATTTTAGCAGTAGTGAAAAATAAGGCCGGACTCTTCTACCCAGCTCTGTACAGGCCGCAGCGAAAATTTGTTAGAAGCTTGCCCTCTGGCAGTGAGCAGAGCCTTCGCTGTGGCCTGCACAGCAGCCCGGCCCATCAGCGGCCCAAGCTGGCAAGCGGCTCAGGGTTTGCGGCTGAACTGCCTGCAAACGGCCGACCAGAAGGACTGGTCTCTGTCGGCGGCCCAGGGGATCCGAGCAAAGCGGTCTGCGGGCCCCTCCACCAAGCCTCGGCAGCGACGTCCCCCGGGAACCTCTGAGCGCTGTTGAGCTTCCCCTCCAGAGGCTTGGCCACGACCAGACTTGGAAAGGTCAAAGGACGCCCCGGGCGTCGCCCTCAGAGTCTCGCCAGGGGGCCCCTGCAGTGACAGATCGGAGCGCTGGAGAGATTTGCTGGTGGCGGCTGAGGGTCTTTACGATAAATCCTCCAACGGGGTAAAATGCAGTGAATCCTGTCCAAACATCTGGGGACAGCCCTGTCCCCACAACATAAACTTAAATCCATTTCCCCTACACTGCAAGAACAGGCGATACACCCATTTTCCGTCCAGCCACCGAGCTGCAACCCGAACCGACGGCAGCCAAGGGCACACAACCGGGACAAAGCGCCAGGGCGCACGTGTGCGGCAGAGTGGCCGCGCGGGGGCGCACGACCTGATCGCCCGGAGCGCCCCTCCGCGTCTCCGTGTCTCCGCCCCTTGCAACCCCGGCCCCACCGCCGCCGCCCGCGGGACCCGCAGCCTCCTGCTGCCTGCGGCGCCCAGCGGGGCCGAACGGAACCCGCGCCGCGCGGAGACCATGGGGCCGCGGCGCCTGTTGCTTCTCGCCGCGGGCCTCAGCCTGTGCCGTCCGCTGCCGACGAGCGCCCGGGCCCACGAGCCAGGTGAGGGCTGGGACGCGCGAGGCTGCGGGGCTGGGTGGCCTGGAGGCGGCCCCGCCTCGGTGTCCCCAGAAGCCACGCGGGGTCGGGGCACCCTCCCCGCAGAAGGGGTCTCGCTTGCTCCGCCAGCCGGCGCCGGTCTGCCCCCGGGACGCGCCTCGTTTCTCCGCCGTGCGGTGCCTGCGGTTCTTCTGGTTCGTGCAACTTTGCCGAGGGAGCCGGGCGGGGAGGCCGCTTTGTGCGTTCCCGGAAACCCACTCCTGGGCCGAGGAAAGGGTCCTCTCCCTGGGGCCAGCTCCCTCAGACGCCCCCGGCCTGGCGAGAGGCCCTGCCAGTCGCGTTTCTAAAGTTTCTAAGCTCCAGGGTGCTGAACGAAGGAAGCCTGCTGTCTGCTGGGCCATGGTGTCCATTGCTCCCGCCGAGCCGAGCAGACACCAATCAATGAGGGAGAAAAATGGATTTTTAAGAAAAGTTTCTTAATAACAAGATTAGCAACTTTCAACGGTTTTTTTCGTGCAGGTTTTCTTGTTATCAGTGAAAAAAATGTGTGCTCCGGTTTGCTCCTACATAACCAGATTAAGAGGGGACAAAGACACGGCGTGTTCCCTGCCCAGCCTCTTTGTTCAAGGCAGGAGATGCTCTGGGGAAACTCGGGGCTCCAGCCCCAGACTTCAGCAGTGTAACAGCCCTTTATCACCAGCGCTGTTCGGGGGTATTCGGGGGTCCTGAGTGCGTAGAGCGTTGTGTGACTGCTCAGTATTACCTGAGGACCAGCGCCTGAGAGTATGAATTTTTATGTAGATTTGACCCTGAGGTGGAGGATGGGGACACACAGCCACCACATCCACTGTGCCACCGGAGGTCCCAAGACCCCAGGGAGGTTAGGGGCTCCTGCAGAGAGTGAAGTTTATGTCAAAGTTGTTGTTTTCTTTCTTTTTTTGGTACCAAGGATCTAACTCACGACCTTGAGCTTTCCAGGCAGGTGTTATGCTGCAGAGCTAAGTCCCTGACCCAAAGTTGTTGTTTTCTGCCCCGCCTTTTAACTTCCTCATGGAAGGAATGGCACATCCTGAGGCAGACAGAAAGACAACCTGACCAGAAGTCTGCTCATCTGTCCACACTACTCCTGGAGCCACTCGGGGTGGGGCGGGAGAGAAGGGAGTGTGTGTTGTGTTAAGCCCTGTACTCCTGTCAGGCTGCTCGGTCAGCCGTCAGGAGTCATCACCGACTGGATGGTCTCATTTCACCCTCTCAAAAGGTGCGGTCAAGTGGGAGTTCATCACCATGGCTAGTTCTGAAACAGGTCAGGGTCCATGTGTGGAAAATGGGGGAGAGGGGCAGAGGGATCCCACCCACACAGGGTGCAGGCTGGAAGTGGGGCTGTGTCTTTAGAGAGTTTTAAATCACTGTCAAATGAAGCAGATCGGCTTTCTCTGATCGCTGTCCACTGACGGTTCTGGACAGTGTCTGTCCTGCCATGTGGGTGCGCCACCCTGCTGCGGCCCCAGTCCTCTAGTGGCCTTGCTGGAAGCCTGTGTCTAGAAATGCCATCCTCTGTGCAGACGAAAGTTGTGATGCCCTCGGGCTTGACCCTGACCTGTGCTTTTCCGCAGCGCTTTCAGACTTTCTGATCCCATTCATTGTGGCTCTTCCTGCCTTGTCATGTTGTGGGAATCTCCTCTTCCCAGCCAAGATTGTAAACTTCACTTATTCCCCATGGGATCTGAACCAAATGTTCCCTCTTCAATGTTTATTGAGGAACTCTCAAGCTCATTAAGTACCTTCCATTCCTTTGACCCTGAGATGACTTCACATTCACTACAGAGGGCCAGTATCCAAGAGCACAAGGCAATGCAATGGATTTTAGAAGGACTGGGAGGCATTGTTGGTGCTGAGGCAGAGCCCACTCCGTGGGGTATCCTACACAGAGCCCTCCTGACCCCCTCCCCATCAAGCCAGCTCCTTAGCAAGGAGCAAGGGCCAGGGAGCTGTGCGTGGGCCCCAGCATCTTACCAGCACCCCTTCATCCTTCCCCCACTTCAGCTAGCCCCATCCCTTTCTCCTCCCCTAAGAAGTTTGCTTTCTGTGGCCTCTGTCCTCATGTTCCTCCCTATTCCTCACCAGGTCACATTTCATTAGGGTACCCTTCCCAGCTGGCAGCTGCCTGGGTACGGGGCACAGATTCCCTTCCCTCCTGCACATACCTGCCTTTTGGACAGATGTCATCCCCTCATTAGAGAGGACACTGAGACCCAAAACAATAGTCACAAGTCTCAGAAGAGCTGGAGTTGAGACTTGACCACAGGTCAGTCTTTTCTACATGGAAGCCTTCTCTACCACTCTGTAAAGGGGGGGCATCTTGACCCCCCAAAAATGCTCCCCTGTGTTCCCCAGTACCTGTGGAGAGCAGAGTGTACCCTATAAGCCAGATGCACCAGACCAGGGGACAAGGGACAGTTATCTAGTAAACCTTCCCAAAAGGTCTGCTGTTCTGCTTTCATTTTGGTAACGGATGATAAAGCAGGCTATTAATAGACCCTTATGAAATTTTTCTTTTTCCTTTTGAAACAGGATTTCACTGTGTAGTCCAGGTTGGCCTTGAACTCACAGTGAGCCTCCTGCCTCAGCTTTTGGAGTGCTGGGATTACAGGCATGTGCCACCATGCCTGGCATAGATCCTTATTCTTTAATATATGTTAATTGCCTGGTACCAAGAATTGGGGATCAAAAAGCTGAACAGAAAGACTCAGACCTGGATGGTGAGAAGTTAGGTAATATAGAACTCAGCACGTTTACGAGTATTTTTTTTTGTTAAACAGCAGGAAAAACACTAAGAAATATACTTTACAGTTTGCAGTAGAGCTGTGTGCAGTAAACACACGTAGATAATCGTGGAACACGTAGATAGCAAACAGGTTTCACTAAACAGTATCTGCCTTTATTACATGCCATACATTCTGATATCTTTTACACTTCGTTTTGTTGTTTTGTTTTGTTATGGCAGTACAGGGTTGAAACCAAGGCCTTCACACTGATCTGCATCACCAGACCTTTTTAAATGTTTTTGTTTTACACAGGGTCTCGCTAAATTGCTCCAGCTGGCTACAGCTTGGGATCCTCCTGCCTCAGCCTCTTAGAATGCTGAGATTACAGACATGAGCCATCAGATCCTGCTCACTATCTTACCTTTTTAAAAAATATCCACTGCAACTCTCTACATTAATTCACAGCCACTACGATGCATCTAGCGTAATTTAAAACAGCACAGCAGGCACAATGAATTATCCTGTGACAGAGGAAAGGTCCTACAGCTTTGTGAGGAAAGCCTGTTTTCCCAGACCCTGTGAATTTGAGTTCAGGTTTACAAAGTACAGAAGGACGTGAGCAGGGCTGCAGGCTTGGGGGACCAGTGCTGGGGGCTTCGGCTCTCACACTGTGTGTTGGAGAGTAAGGAGTTGCCTTTCTGGCATGGGAGCTCCAGAACCATAACCTGGGAGGAGGAGAGACCTAGAAGGGTAGAAAAAGGCCGGGCAGGTGCTTCCCCGGGAGGTATCCTGGCATTCCTGACCCTGTGGTGGCGGTAGCAGTGGTGGTGGGCACCCCAAGCAGAGGCCCCCACACTTCCCTTGGGCCGGCTGTGGTCTTGGTGCCGCTGAACCTCCTTCCTGTCACCTCCCTGCCCCCGGCTTCCTTCCAGGCTTGCATCCCTGCACTTTCTGAGGAGCCTGGCTCTGTTCCTGGGGGCTCCTGTGCCTAGGGTAGAGGAGAGGCAGGCTCCAGGCAGCGGCCCCTTCCTGGCCCTATGGAGAGTTTACTGTATTCTACCTTTAATCCTGCTTTTTCTGTGGCACACTTTTATTCACTCTGTGGTCTTGTTGCTGCACCGTTTTAGAACAATGATTTAGCAATTTTGCTTTGTTCATGTCCTTGAATGTCTTCCTCACGTCCATCATCTGAAGCACAGAGCTGCTGGCATGTGGTTGGCATGTAGCCAGAGTCCACAGGACCCACGGTTCCCAAGCCACAGCCACGTTTGCTGTCACCTGAAGTCATGCGTCCACGTGTCCACATGCTGCCCCACGTGGCAAAAAGGATGGGCACATTCACAGCTGGTGAAGTGATAAAAGGAGATATTGTTTTAGGAGTCAGTTACCGGCCACAAGTTTTAAAGAGACAGTGGTTTAGTGTAGTCAGAGTCAAAGTTTTGGAGCTAGGCAGAGTGAGGTTCAAGTCCTGCCTGGCTCCTCTACTTAGCAATTGTGTGACTTTGAATCGGTTACATGTTCTCTCATTTTTTTCATGTACCAGTTTCTCCATATTCCAGGTAAGCCTCAAAAGAGTTAACACTGTAAACATTCAAGAACATTTTTCCCTTCAGAAATGTGACAAAACAAAACCAAAAATCCTTACTCGGGAAAATAAAGAGTATAAAATACTTGTTTTCCTTTTTAAAAAAAATTTTATTATAGAATTATCAAGCATATCTCCAAATGAAAATTATATCCCCCCACGCCCATCAACTGGCTTCAGCGTTATTTATGTCTGACCAATCATCTTTTACCTATATCCTTACTTTACCTATACCCCTAAAGGGAAAATTCTTAAAGCAAAGTTCAGGCACCGCATCACTTCATCTTTAAATAATCAGTATATATCCCTAGAGATACATACGTCCAATACCATTAAAATACCTTAAAGAAAAACAGTTCCTTAGTATCACGTAATGGTCACTGTGTGTCCAGGTTTTCTTGTCTTGTTAATGGCTGTTAACTGTTGGTTTGTTCAAAGCAGAATCAAAGAAGTGTCAGCATGTATTTGATTGATGTTTCCTTAGATGTTTCAAGTCTTTCCCTTACCCACAGCTGTTTTTCTTTGGTTTGGGGGGGCTTGTTTTTGTGGGGGGGGTTATGATACTGGAGATCAAATCCAGGGCAGAGCACAATGGTGGGTAACCTACTGCATGCATGCTGTTTTTCTTTTAAGACAAAATATGTTGATGTATG